GCGCGTACCTGCTGGGCGGCTGGAATGAGGGCGAGAAGAAGTACAAGAAGTGCATCCAGTGCTTCAACCCCGAGCTCAACGAGTGGACGGAGGACGACGAGCTGCCCGAGGCCACCGTGGGCGTGGCCTGCTGCACACTGGCCATGCCCAACAGTGTGTCCCGCGAGTCACGGGCCAGCTCGGTGTCCTCCGTGCCGGTCAGTATCTGAACGCATTGCTTCCCGGAGGCCTGTGGTCAAACTTCGAGTGGGCTACAAGGAAAATATACACCGTTTACTACAGTGATGGTGATTCAGATCGATCTAGAGGAATGTCTGGGCGGCTCCAAATTCGTAGTTTGGCATCATCTACCTCAGTTTTTCCCCATCTCCCACCAACAGAATAAAGGGTTGTAGACGACAAAACAAGCAATTTCGTTCTGCAACCACTGGGTGGCATGCGGCACTCTTCCAAGGAGACATGCTTCCTAAATTCATAGTGGTTACTCACTGAGATTTTCTTTCCTACACTGTACACGTGAAACTTATGTGACTATGCAATTTCCTATTCAAAGGTGTATTTTCCTCTCTCTGTTTGGGGAGTTGAAAATACTCGTTTTAAGTTTTCAAATGAAAATAGTCTTTATAAAGACTTAATTTTATATTTCAAAATAAAAATTTATTCCCCCCTACTTTTAAAGACATCTCATAATATAGTCACAAAGCTTTAAATAAGTTGTGGCCAGAAAGCAACACAAAAACAATATGGTAGCAGTTTGGGGGTAATGGCATGTACCCTCATCCTTCTGGAAGCTACAGTCATTTTCTATCATAAAAAAAGGAACGATTTTCAGTCTCTTAATTTATATTCTAAATTTAAGCCAGTTGGCATTTTCTTAGAAGTAATTTTTATCTCATGCTTATATATTGAAAGACTTTTTTTTTTTTGTACTGGATGATGAACCACGGACCTCGTGCACGCTAAGTAAGTGCTCTACCAGAGAGCTACATCTCCAGCCTTTATTTCATTTTATTCTTTGAGACAGAATCTCACTAGGTAGAACAGGCTAGCCTCAGACTCTCAGAGATCAGCCTGCCTTGACCTCCTGAGTGCTGAGATTAAAGGCATGTGCTACCATTCCCCGCCCTCTTTTTTATTTTAAAGTAGGGTTTTTACTAGGTTATCTAGGTTAGCCTTGAACTTAAATCTTCCTGCTTCAGTGTCCCCAGTAGCTGAGATGATAGACCTGTACCACCAGGTATAGCTTTCCCCTGACATAGATAAATTGCTTCTAATACTAGCCCAAATAATCACCAAATAACATTATGTTCTTGAGTATCATTAACTTTGGCTTATCTTCCCAGCTATACAGCCAATAGCAGTAATTTTACTGGCCCACTCCTACACATGGTGATGATGAAGGAAACACTTGGGATGCTCATATTTGGCAATAACTTGATGAGAAGATGGGTTCACCTGTTGAGGAATGTGGTTTCTTTCTCCTGATATCTAACTTAAAATATTAAGCCAATAATATATATTCTTTATGATTTACTTCTATTACTACCACTCCAAATTACTTTGCAAATCAAAATGTATCTTTTTTTTTTTTTTTTGAGTCAGGGTCCCTGTGTAGTTATGGCTATCCAAGAACTCATTAGGTAGACCAAGCTGGCCTCAAACTCACTGAGATTCACTCATCTCTTCCTCCTGAGTGCTGGAATTAAAGACATGTTACACCAGGCCTGGTAAAGTATATTTTACTGTTGCTGTTTCCTTGACTTATCGGCCAAGTTTGGAGGAGAAGGGAAGGACTGTAGTAAATGATGCATATTTTCTTTTAATATATCAGTTTATTCTTTGTGGTGTATTTGTTTTGGGAAGGAAGTGCCTGTCAACTATGGGTTATATACAATTAGACAATGTAAAGGGATAACTAGGTATCTGGAACTGTATCTTGGTTGTCATTAATCCCAGCCCTTCCCACTACCTGTATGTTGAGTTGTGATGGGTATGTATGTCTAAAGCATGATCATCTCTCCTTGTCTGTGGGCTACACATCTGTAGGTGCAGCCAGCCACAAGCAGAAGAGGTTGGAAAAACTTGCATATGTAGAAAACACATCCCAAAGAGCTTTTCCTTTTTCTTTTCTTCCCAGAGCAATACAGCACAACAGTTTACATAGTAAATATATTGTATTAGATATTATAATGACCTAGAAACAATATAAATTTTAGAAGATGGGAGCAGGTTATATGTAAATACGATGCCATTTTGTAGATGGGACGTGATCATCAAGGCACTGGTATCCTAGCAAGGGACAGGGCATGTCCTGGTACCAGTCTCCCAAGGACACTGAGGGATGGCTACGTTTTATTCCAACTGTGAAAAGTGGCTTTTTGAAACAACCTTCCTCATCACCCCTTATGAAAAGCTCAGTTTGGTGTATTCAGTGCTAACACTCAGAAATAGACTATAAACACTGGAAATAAGTAAGACACCACTAGCATACAAATACTGAGAGAAAGAGAGTTTCATCAGGTACAGGGAAAATCTAAAGGAGCCTGCTCCATTGGCTCCATGACTACACAGGCTGGAAAACAAAACTGTGAGAAATGGCTTTTGGACCAAGTTAATCACTGGCTGAGCCCCTAAATTATCAACAATGGTAAAATAAACTCCATTTTTAATGGATCATTCTGGCCACTATTTGCCAAGCATCTTTTCCAGATGACATATACGTACCCCTGCAACTGAAAAGCCTACAGTATATTGTTACTTTGGGGTGGGGTGCTTCATTGTGGGTTACAGATAATTGAACAAATAGATGTCATTTATTTATGCACAGTTTGGGAATGTAGAAGTGTGTGAAGACAAGGGCCTAGGTCTCCAGATAAAGTAAAAATCAATGCATTGTAAGATCTTAGGATTTAAAGCATGAGGAGGGAGACTGAAAGTAGAGGGTTCTTCATTTGTCCCAGCTGCTACAATAGACTGTAAAGCCCAGGCAGTTGCTTTTTAAGAGTTAAACTGCAGGCCTAGTACAGCTGGGTGAATTGCAATCACTGTTTAACTTTCTGTGCTGTTAACCTGAAGACTCGGAAAATACACGTAGCTGGGCTTACCAGGCCCTGGGTGCATTGGGGTTGACAGAGTATGGTACGTGAAGATCCGTGAACATTTGAACCCCTGAATATCCTGCACTGCCATTAAAGACACAAACATACACAGAGGACTCAACGTTCTGTGTCACCTTCAGCGTCTTTAATTTGTCTCAAAGTTGCTGCTCCTGGGACACACAGTCCACTTTCCAAATGCAAACTTGACCTCGTTTTATTGTGGTTTCTGTTTACGTCCATCGGTTACCAGTTACACCCCCATGTTAGGACCCGAAAATGAACTTGTGTTTAGTTTTCTCAAAGAAAATGGCTTGTGATTTGTTTTTAATGCCTGAGTTCTGTGATTAAATTAAATGCTCAGCTTATCAGAAAAGAGCCTGTTACCCAGCAGCGAAAACAGTCAAACTGAAGCTGCCTTTTTCCGAATGGGCCAGAGACCTGATAAGAGCGTCTCCAGGAAACCAGACCTTAATAGAGTGTGTCCATCTTCTCAGGGCTCCAAGGCCAAGCTGTGATCTCTAACTCACCAGTTAATTTCAGCACATTGAGTGCATGTTATTTTTACTTCCTGTTGTGAAGATGGTCACATATATAAAAGGTCCATGCTGGGCAGTTTAACACGGTTCTCCAGAATGACTGGATGCTGGGGACTTGAGGGAGATCTTAGCTGAGGTAATAAGGAAGTGAGTCCTGAAAGGGTCTAAGCTTTAAGACAGGGTGGTAATGATATTATGTGTGTTTTACAATGTGTGTGTAAATAGAAGTTAGCTGGAAATAGGAGGTGGGTCTCCCCAACTCCGGCCCCTATTATTCTGGCCACATGTCTTCAGAACTCAACTAAATTGCTAAGTAAATGGACTAAAGTCGATTCATTGATTTATTTTCCCCAGTTATAACAGAATGGACCTTGGTAATTTCTGAGTGAGTGGTGGACCCCTGCCCCAGCGCTGATGACTGTGTTCTTGCCACAAGGCAGCGATAAAAAGAATTCTTTTCATATCAATAAAAAAGTTATACCAAATACTTTCCATCATTAATTACTAGAACTAACAATTAACAATTTACCCTATAGCATACCATTTGAGCATTGCCTCTCAGGGAGTCTGACACAAAAATGTTTATCTTGGATACTCCTAAAAATGGTTGTTGCTGCTTATCCAGCAAATCCTGGCAGAAACCTTGTTGGCTTAAAACATTCTGGTTTTCTATAAAGAGCAACAAAGAAAACTGTCTGTGGTGTTATTTTGTAACCTCATCACTGTTAATAAAGCTGCAAACAAAACATTTAATCAATGCTCACCTGTGGGCAGTTTTGCGTATTGCTTTGATGATTAAACTATTTGGGGGTTTACTATTATTATTACTATTATCATCATTATTATTGTTTAGTTGTTACTATTCAATGAGGCAAAATAATAGTAGCAAAATAGAAATGATCATAGAAAAGTGTTGCATACCTTGGATGCTAGCAAAAGAAGGAGGCATGGAATAGCACTAGTGGCCAGACAGTAACAAACTGTTGCCACCCAGCCCTGATATTCAGAAGTTAGATTGAGTGTCTCTTCTCATCCATGTCTACTTGTTAAACCTGAGAATGATGAAGAGAAAAGATAAAATCCATGATTGTCCAATTAAAACAAGCTGTCCTTTAGGGACTGGCCAGCTGACTGCCTCACCCTTAGTAGGAATTTGAGAGAGCAGTCCCTGTTGGCCTCTTGAGGTCCTTTTTATAGAAGAGATAAGGTGTTCACAGGGGTGAGAGAGTCAGCTGTTACAGGTTGTTAAAAAATACAATGAAAGGGAAGGAACAAGGGTAAGATTGTGTATCATGTGAATGGGGTCAAAAGTTTCGTGTAGGTTGAAAAACTTGTTTTGCAGTTTACACTAGATCAAAGAAACAGAAACTTATTCTAAATTACAAATAGAAACCTTAACTGGCAAGGACTTAACACAGGACAAACAGGAACTTCTTCTCCTTCTCCTCCTTCTCCTTCTCCTTCTCCTTCTCCTTCTTCTTCTTTGTTTTTTGAGACAGGGTTTCTCAGTGTAGCTTTGGAGCCTATCGTGGCACTCGATCTGGAGACCAGACTGGCCTCGAACTCACAGAGATCCGCCTGCCTCTGCCTCCCGAGTGCTGGTGTGTGCCACCAATGCCCAGCTCAGGAACTTATTCTTAACTGTCTTAACTGCAAACATAAACCTCACCCTGCAAGGTATATTGTTCCTGTTTTGGTCTCACATTCCCCTCTTGAGTTGTATCCTGGGTAAAATCCTTCACTCTGTATTGGGTATCTGGTTATTCTCATAGACATCAACTTAATGGCACCCACACAGGAATTTATACATCTAACTAAGGCATTGATGATGCAAGGGCCAACAGTAATTAGTAGAAACAGAAGGGCCAAAGGTCTCGTGATGGCTGACATCAGTTACTATCTAGGAGGAGCCCCAAAATGAGAATGGGAACTAATCCTTTACTTCATCTCAGGTCCCCCTTTTTTTGCGATGTTTCTTTGAATATAGCCAGATTATCTGTAATGATTCCTAAGTGGTATGTATAGAAACAACAATTTTCTCTTAGAGCCATATAATATCTCCTTGTTCTACATAGAGCAGGCCAAGTGCTCTGTCATATTGTAGAACTACTTCAGCTAATGGGTCTAATGTTAGATCTGGGCCTATTTGGTTTTTAACAGGTACCTTCCCTAGTATGCCAACAGGCAATATAGGTAGGCATTTTGTCTCCTATGCCAGAGTTTCCTTTTGCTCTAACATCCCAGCTTGTTGGGGACAAGGGATAACACACTCTCTTCTATGACTAGTTCCTGCTGAAACTAGGACGTCTTTGTCAGGGTCCAGGAAAGCTGGGATGCTAGTCTAAGGCCAAGCCCTCAGGAATGGGGCATTCAACAGAAGTATCTGGTTAGCTGATCCAGCTGAAAAGTGAGGGAGCATTCACCTTGGCTGTACTGGTCCACATCAGCTTTCAGCAAGTCCAGAACTCACAACTGTGTGGAGCAGACTGTAGTCCACAGCTGATTTCTGGACAGTGTCTGTCAGACAAGTGGAAATCTGCTTAGAGAGATACAGACTAGGGACAGAAGTTAAAGTTTAGGAACTTAAAGGAAAACATTACATTTGGCACTTTCAGGCCCATAGTCCCAGTGGTTGTGGAAGATGAGGAGTCCCAAGACCAAGAGAGAGATTGCACCCTCAATGATAGGTAGGTAGAGAAACTTTGGCTTTACTTAACTGGAATCCCTTTGACCTGTGAGAAGTGGACCCAAGTCTTATGACTCCCTCAATTCCCTGAAGCTTACATGAAATTTTAGTTTGCAAAAAGGGATAAAAATTTCATATGTATTAGTATTTCCACTGTTCGTAATCTGTAGTAAAATCCACATTGTAGAAAATGCAGCTAACAGGTACCTGTAAGAAATCTCAGTATAACAATGTTTCAAGAAAAGAAGCCTGAAACATTTCCCATTTTTGAATACCTTAAATCATTTTCTTATACCCTCAGAACTTAATTAAGCTTTCATATCCTCAACCCTTATACACCTTAGAATACTTTCTTAGACCGTCTGAACTCATATAGACATTAAATCTTTTTCTATCCATCTAATCATTTATTGGAGACAAGAGTAGTTATTACTGAGAACCATCATTGCAAAGCAAGTTCTTTTAAATAAAGGAACAGCAAAAAGTTACATCAGAAATCTGTTTATTCTTTGATATGAAGCCTGTTAGGAAAGCAAACCTGTCTGCCTTTCTCAGAAGGAGACCCAGTAGCTCTAGAAAAGGCAAGGCCTGATTTTTTTACATATGAAATGAACTAACAAGGTGGGTACAACAAAGCTAGTTAGCCTAGCTATCAATGTCATCAGAGATCAGAGAAGGATAAATTATAGCAGAAAGTATAATCTGAAGGGACTATATCTATTAAAATGACAGAGACTTACTCATTGTAAGTAACTTGGCCCAAGCTTACTTACTGGGCCAAGGTCATCTGATATGGCCATGAGGAATTAAATCAAGGTGGTGGGAGGGGCCACAGCACAACTGAGCCTATGACAATTTTATTGAGACCAATCAGACTTTTTATACTTTTAACAGAAACAGAATGTAATGGCAATTGCCAGGATCAATACAGTTGTAGTTGCCAGGATACAGTGAAGTTTGCAAGTCATACAGGGTTCACAAAATTAATGTCTAAGAACAATTGTCCTGTCAAGCCTTCATCCTTCATTGACTACTAAGGGATCATACAGAGAAATGCAAAGTTGACTGAATGCTTCATTCTCTGAGGGAGTGCATCAGTCTCTCAGGAACTGGAAGGCACACTGTGCCCCAGGAGCCATGGACTCTAACCTGAAAAATCTCTGACACATTCATCTCAAAGTAGCTAGGCCAAGCAAACTCCATGTTTCCCTGCAACCCATTACCTAGGCAGTTATCCTAGGCTCCTGTGATCTCAGTGGCTTCATTAGAGGCAGAGGTCCAGGCCAGTGTCAGCCTCCAGGCCCAGCAGATCAGAGACTTTCCTGTGAAGGAAGAAGTTAGGGGAGTGACCTTACTTTGTCTGGATAAAGTCGGTTAATCAACTCTCCAGTGTCCTGCTTGTTCACAGTTTGGGCCAGGCCATGGCTTCGAATGAGACACTGGAGCAGTATTCTCCAGTGGTTAGTGTTACCACATTCAGGTGGTGTTATCATGCCCCGTCATCTTCTTTAGAGACATCAGAGTCACAGTTAGAAGGTAGGGTCTCTCTCTGTCATAGTAAGCTTTTTCCATTAATCATTTTGAATGTCCAATTCAGCAGATTTCTGACAAGTTTGAGGACCATTATTTATTTATTTTGTGTTTTTTTTGCAGATTTTTTTTATTTGAATTAGAAACAAGATTGTTTTACATGACAATCCCAGTTCCCTTCTCCCTCCCGTCCTCCCCTACCACCCCCCTGAACTAAAACCCTACCTATCACATATCCTTTCTGCTCCCCCCTGGATAGTGAGGCCTTCCATAGGGTGTCATCAGAGTCTATTGTATCCTCTGGGATAGGGCCTAGGCCCACCCCCGTGTGAGGACCATTATTTATTAAGTATATATGAGCTAAACAACTTGCTGGCTTTTAGTTACTTGATTTAAGCTTAAACTTGAAAACATATACAGGTTTCTATTGCTGTGAAGAGACACTAAAAGCACAGCAACTCTTATAAAGGGAAACATTTAATTGGGGTGGCTTACAGTGCAGAGGTTTAGTCCATTATCATCATGACAGGAACCATGGCAGCATGCAGGCAGATGTATTAGAAAAGGACCTGAGAGTTCCATATCTTGATCTGTAGGCAGAGAGACTGTATCACACTGGGCACAACTTGAGCATATGAGACCTCAAACCTACCTCCACAGTGACACACTTCCTCCAACAAGGCCACACCTCTTAATAGTATCACTCCCTATGGGCTAAACTTTCACACACATGAGTCTATGGGGGCCATACCCATTCAAACCACCATAGTAAATAAAGCCTATTTCTATAATTAATTAAATTAGTCCTTGACATGACTACAAGTTTTGAACACATTAAAGAATTTTATTTATCCTTTATGAGGTGACTGCTATTAACTTACTTGTCTTAATTATCTTTAATAGCTAACAATAAGTTAGTAGCTTTTATACGATTAGGACTTTATGTCTTTATCTTTGCTAAGTTTGAACCTTAAAAATATAACAATTTCTGGATTGAAGCCTTTTGAGTATTAAAATAAAATGTTAAATTATGAATACAGTTCACAGAGATACTGGCAACTTTACCTTCCTGGATCTTACATAGTGCACCATTGCAGAATATCACAGTTCCTTACATGACTCCATCTATCCATTTCAAGAACTTTGGAGGAGGAAGGAATTCCTCACAGGGCTGGTTCTCAGAAACACTAAGGTTTGTTGTTGTTGTTGTTTACTGGAGCCACATTCACAGGTTGATTCAGGGTAAGCTTGACATGCTCATGCATCACTGATCTTCCACACATTTCTAGATCAAGCAGAGAGAGGAGACAATTGGACGGATGAGCCTAAGATCTTACTCCATTGCTTTCCTTGAGCCTTTCAAGAAAGGACCACAGTGCAGTCTGACTAACATTCCAATTCTGTCTTGCTGTTGAACCGTAACCTCAGATGTGACTGAAGAGTTGAAAGCACAGGCTTTCTTTCACTATTATTTCCAGAAGGGAAAGGAGGGAAAAACACAAACTATTATCATAGTAAGCTTTTGTCTCCTCTCCTCACTTAGATACTTCAATAAGAATACCAGCAACAAGAGTCAACTACCCGGTGCCTCTTCATCTGGCTCTTGTTGCTCTGAGTCACAGTTAGGTCTGCACCAACGTACCCACCTTAAAGCTTTCTATTTCCTTCCATCTAGGGTTATCTCCACTCCCAGCTAAAGGGGGAAGCTGAGAAAAAATCTATTTCTGCTAGGTTGGGTGTGGAGTCATCTATATCTAATCTGCTCATTTCTCTCTATACATGGGCCCGACCTAGGGGCAAGTGTGGTTGGAAAAAAATCTTGTGAATGTGGCTAGAAAGCCTTCAGGAAGAAGCAGTTTTCATGGTCTCTATAAAATGAATGGGCACCCACCTCCCTGTGGTTGTCAACAGGAACAGGAACTTTTGAGTCTACCCAGCTTCCCCCATTTGACTCTGCTGACACTGTGATGGAGGCCCCTCTGTGTCATAAGCTGTTCCCTCAGCTGCTTAATACTACCTTGTTCTTCTCCTTTAGGTCTTTTTTCAACCCAGTATCCTTACAAGTAGGTCTAGAGCAGGCATGAAATTTATTCTGTAAGCCTTCAGTGTTGGCACAAATATAGATCCCACAGACCATCAAGAAGCATCTCTTGTTCGTAAAATGCCCTCTTCACTGTTCCCAGCCTGGGTCTCCACTTCCCTCTCCATCTATAATTCTGATATTACTCCTATCATAAGGTTTAGTGCATACTGTATTCCCGTGACTTAATGCTACTCATTCCAGCCGTATGAGGAATTCTCCATATCTAACAGTCTGGGGGAGAAGAGCATACATACAGAGAGCTTAAAAAAAGGACCCGTGTACATCTATTCTTAGCTGCTGTTGTTAGGATTCCTGGAGGAATGAGAAGGACAGTAAGATGGCTGTAGTCTGTCCCCACAAGTCTTATTCCCTAGCCTTAATGGATCTTTCTCGTTGAGCACAGAGTTGCAAGTTGCAAAATGTTTTATGGAATGTTTGTAGCCAAGGAAACCATGAAGGCTAGAGTGATTCTTTCCATTGTTTAACAACTATTCACTGGACACATCCAGGCATCAATCTGAAGTTAGAATACTCTCATGAACAAGCCACTGCTTCCTCAGGGACAGTAAAGAGCTGGGACCTTCCAGGAGGTGGCTCTGTTGCCCAGAACACACTCATTAGATGAGGAAAGCCAACTCTACAAAGAGCAATTAAATTAACAAGCACATATTTTGGCAAGCTCTGTGCTCTCTAGGTCTCTCCCAGAGGACAGAAAGGTAAATTCAGCCCAATGTCTGCCCTCAGAGGGATCGGAATTAGTCGAGGTTTTCTAGCTGACTCCATTCATTGGTTATTTGATCACACAGTCTCAGCTCAAGGACTACATCATGCAGGCTGACTCTCTGACCTCTGTCTGCACGAGTCTGTAAGAAGTAGAAGCAAGTGATCAGATGCAGGTGTTGTGTTTCCAGCAGTCTCTTGGCTTTAGCACTGTGCTTCTTCTAGCCGGGATTCCAGCTCCCCCCAGCTCCTGCCAGGGGCTGCTTTCCCTGTCTCCAGCTTGTAAGGTACTCACATCACCCATCACAGTCTACCACCATGGCCTAGTTTCTTGTTGGTTTGTGTTCTGCTAACCCTTTAAGAAAGTGCATCTTAAGAGACAAGGTCTTGTCGACCTGACTCGCTGCTATGCTTCCAGGGTTTAGAACAATGTCTTGTGCACAACAGAAGTCAGTTGTTTTGAGTGACTCAATGAAGGCAGCAGTAAGTCATCATGACCTACTGCTCATTGATTTCTATTCCAACATTACGCATTCATTTAATCAACATGTTTGCCGAGTGTCTACCACACACAAAGCACCTCTCCTCACCCCCAGGAATCACTAGAGGTGAGAACAATCAAGTCATAACCATGATAACTAAGATTGACTGGAGGTCAAAAACTAAATTGCTTAGAAACATTATAGGTCAAAGGAGTTAGGTAACAAAATCTTTACAATTCATTTCTTTATTAAGCAACCTTACAAGATTGATATCTCTATGGCTATTTTCTCATTATTTTTAATTATAGCTTTCTCCCTACAACTGCCAAATATTCTAAAGCATGCTAGAACTAGTTTCACTGTTTAACTGGTGATTACTCAGTGCCCACTTTCTATACATTCAAGCACATATATGGATATACACATAACCATCATTTGATAGTGTAATTGTGTGTGTGTGTGTGTGTGTGTGTGTGTGTGTGTGTGTGTGTATGACAGTAAAGAGCTGGGACCTTCCAGGAGATGGCTCTGTTGCCCAGAACACACTCATTAAATGTGTGTGTTTTTTTATGCATGAGACAGCTACACATTTGTATTTTGGGATTAATAGTCCTTCTGGTTCTACTATCCTCAAAGAGAGCTAAAACAGCTAACAGGTAATGTTCATTAATTCTTATAGGTAGACACACTCCTGATGATGTAAAGAAGCCTAAAAAGTTTGAGTTTATACATAGATACTCATAGGCCATTTCTATCTCAAGAATAGGAGAAGGACATTTTGCACCCAAACCCTGGTGACCTTCCAAAGCTCAGACAAATCCCCATTAGTGGCTCTGTCATTTCCCTCATGGGAAAAGATACTGAGGACAAGTCACTTGTGGTAAAGCCCTGAGTGACGGAACACTGAAGCTCTATGCCCGAGTCACAGTATATTAGGAAGTGAGGTATCGCATAAGGAAATAAAAGGAGTCAAACTCTGCTGCAGGGATGCCCAGCTCTGGCTTCAGAGGTCTTCCCAGGGGTATCCTTCAGAAGAAATCTGACCCCAGAATGACCATAGGAACCTAATGCAGAAAACAGCCAGGCTGTGAATAGCGTTGTCGTTGATGGCTCACCCAGGGACGCTTATTTTGAAAAGAAAAAGCGGCTCCAACAAAAAACTATGGAACGCTTCAATGTTCCTATTGATTCATTCATTTGATTTTTTCCCAAATGGCAGGGACATTTGAAAAATATCATGCTCAATCATTTCTGTATTCTATGATAGTTATTAGAAATCAGAAAAAGTAAAATACACACATACATACATACAGTCTATGGTCCTAGTAATTTGGGAGGCTGAATTCAAGGCCACCCTGGGCTTCATAATAAGTTTAAGGCAAGCCTGGACTAGATAGAGAAATCTTGTCTCAAAACAAATTAAATTAATATTGACCTACATAAAATTTCATTCATTTAAAAATATGTATATGAATTTTAAAAGAACCCTAACCAGCAACATCTTCAGCTAAATTTTGTTACATTTTTAATTAGGATAAGCCTAAATGCATTGACTGAGGGAGTTGGTATTTTGCAATCATTTGTTTCACATTTTAGAAGTTCACACAGACCTTTATTATTTAGTTTCTTTTTGCTATGCATTTCCAAGTTGTTTGCATTGGAAATAAAACTACATAAGTATGTGTATCTACATATATATGTTTACACACACACACACACATATGTGTATATATGTATATACATATATATATATATATATCAATCATATGGAAATCTATGAGTATATGCATTTGGATATATTTGAAAAATAATCTTAAGAACTATAACTCTATTACATCTCAATAGCAGAAAAGGCAGTACTAATTAAATCATAGCAGTTCAAACAATAAAGACATCAGTCCAAATAGCTGGAAAGGAAAGAAAATGCATACAAGTTGCCTGAAGCCATGGGTGTGACGAATTACAGATAAATGCATACTTACATTTTGAACTTTTGTGTCTAGCAACATTCCAGGTATGGGGGAGCAAAGATGAGTAGACCGTGTCTCACCATCCCTAAGGGTAGAGGGAAATGAAGCAGGAGGCTGGGAAGACAGGCAAACAAATTATAGCTGGATGATGTAATAGCTGTAATTATGGGGGTATGTGCAGGATCTCATGGGATTGCTGCTAAATGGATGGCAACTTTTACTGAGAGAGGTCAAAGCAAAGGAGGGAGCCTCAAGCTGAAATTTTTGTTTCTGTTTTTATTTTTTTTTGTAATTGAAAAAAACTTTTTTTCAGACAAGGTATATTGATCATGCTCTTCCCCTACCCAAACTCCTCCCACAATGCTCTGGAAATTCAGCATTACTGGGAGTCGCATGGTATGAAATCTTCAATCAATGTAGCAAGGACTGGTACCTATCTGCCTCTTCTGTGGTCCTTGGAAAGCAGTCTAAAATTCGAGATGAAAAACTAGAATTGATAAACAAAATTTCTGAACCTCAGTTTCTACAACTGTAAGAATCACTATCACTCTACTTATTTAATCAAATGGTTACAAATATAAAATTGAGCAACATTCGGGGAAACATTCTGAAAACATGAAGCTACTCTATACATTTGTGAAGATCATGACATTTCCATGTCGAGTTACCTATAGCAAACATTAGATACCACTGTGCATTAATAGGAGACATCAGAAATATGTGGAATTCCATGACATATATCTTCTCACTTTGGAAGGTCACCAGGGTTTGGGTGCTTTACATGTCTGTTGTCTCTTTGATTTCCTAACATCTTTGATGGGAAAGCCTGGACATGCTTTATTACCTGAGAATGAAGAAGATGAAAAAGCCCAAGAAATAGAGACAAATTAGAAGGTGAACTCCTGCTTGCTCCTCCAAGTCACATTCCTTCTGACACAAAGTACACAGAACACAAGAAAGGAATGAGAGAGGCGCTTTCTAATAAATATTCTAGTAACCATGCAGAACAGGTAAGGACACATTCTATTTGCATGATCAACAGTAAAGTTCATCTTTCCCACTATTCCATTGAGGGAGGGGTCAGGTCACTAAAGCTCAAAGCAGAAGAAGGCCCTACCTGCCCTCACACTTCCTGTGCTCCCAGCTTATCAAAGTGCACTGTAGCAAAGGGACTTGCAGTCCAGTCTCGGGATTCTAGGGGTGCCTCTCTCCACCCAAGCAACTGTCTCTCATCCTTAATCTCAGCTCAAACAACACATCCTATAACAGCTGCCAGAAATGTCTCCTTTCCTTGAAGTCACCCTGATCAGACTTGTGGATAAGAATCTAGGTCCCAAAAACAATCTGCCTCCTTCTGAATCTCAGACCCACTGCTACTTGGCAATCTCTTGGCCTCTGAGCTCTTATCTATAAATGAAAGGCTATCACGGTGGTGTTAATAACACTTGTTACTTAGAAACATTAATATCAAGTGCTATGGCTCGAATGACTGTAGAAGCTTGAACTTTGGGATGGTGGCGTTGGAACCTTTAGAAGATGATGTCTAGTGGGAGATCCTTAGGTTATTAGAAGTACATCTCCAAAGGGAATTGTAGTTCTGGCTCAGTACACCAAGCACACAAGACACCAAGGCAGAAAGGTCACACAAGTTTGATGGCTACCTAGACTACCTAATGAGTTTGAGGCCTGAGCTATATAATTACACACTGTGTCAACAATGTGGTGTGTGTGGAGGGGGTTTGTTATAAAGCCCTGACTTTCACCTTCTTTCAGGATTTGATGGAAATGCTTTGTCCACCACATGCTCCACTATTATGGGTTGCACTCTAGAGGCCCAAAGAGATGAGGCTGCCTGTTCTTGAACTGAAACTTTCAAACCATTAGCCAAAGTATAGGTATTTTATCATAAAGATGACAAATACAAAAAAAAAAAAAAGGTAACAAGTGGTGAGGCCATTGCTGAATATGTAAGTGTGGAAGAGCCTTTGGAAGTGGTTTGTGGGGATTTGTATCAGCCTGGGGGATCTGTTTGCCCATCCATGGAGCTTAGTGGGCAGTTCAAAGAGGGCTCAGGTCAGAGTGCTGACAGAAATGTGGACATCCAAGTCCATGTTGATTGGGTTCACATGGAAATGAAGACTCTGTTGGGAGCTGGATCTGCAGTCATGCTGATAGAACTATGGCTTATAATTTGGCTTCTTGTCCAGACTGAAGACTTTGTGAAAGACAAACCTTCAGAATAATGGACTAGCTTACTGGAAAGAGGAGATTTTAAGAAAGGAAGCATTTGATCTGTAAGGCTGGTGTTATTGGCTGCTTTTGGTCGAATTTACAATAAGAAGAGCAAAAAGGAGGGGAGTAAAAAGGTTTGAAAACTTCTCAGACCCACATGTAAAAATGCCAACTAAAGAAGGTAGAAAAGGATTAGCACTGACAAAAGAAACCGGAAGCTTAGTGTGTTAGTTGCTTTTTGTTGCTGTGATAAAACAAGATGACCAGAAATGACTTCTAGAAGAAAGCATTTGTTTTGACTTAAAGTTCCAGAGAGAAAGTCAATAGTGATGGGGGAGGCATGGAAACAGGTGACCAAAGCAGGAAGCTGAGAGATCTCAGCTCTGTTCACACACAGAAACCAGAGGGAGTGAACGTGGTGTGGGGGGGGGCTATAAATTCTGAAAGCCAGCCCTCAGTGACACACTTCCTCCAGCAAGGCTGCAGCTCCTAAAGGTTTCCAAACATTTCCAATCAGTGCCACCAACTGGGGAACAAGTATTCAAATAATTGAGCCTGTGAGGGGCAGTGCTCATTCAAACAACTATACAAGCAATACCACTGTCTTAGCCATGAAGAGACACTAAGACCAAGGCAACTTTTATGAAAGAAAGCATTTAATTGGGGGCTTGTTTACAGTTCCAGAGGCTTAGTCCATTATCATCGTGGCAGGGATGGTGGCAGCACACATGGTGCTGGAACAGTAGCTGAGAACTACATCTGATCCACAGACTAAGAGAGTGTGATACTGGGCCTAGCTTGAGCTTTTGAAACCGTAAAGCCCATCCCCAGTGACATACTCCCTCCAACAAGGCCACACCTCCTGTAAGCCTGGCATTCTTCCAGTTGACCCAGCTTGTATTCCCCAACTCCATGTGGCAGCTCAAAACTGTCCATAACTCCGGGCTCAAGGGATCTGATGCCTTCTTGTGGCCTCTGAGGGCACCAAGCATACATGTGATAACAAGACACGCCTACAGACAAAATAGCCATTCAGAAAATAAGTAATTTTTTTTAAGTATGACATTACTGATTTGTTTCAAAAACTTTTATATTACCTTTCTTGTCATGTGACAAAAATACCTGATAGAAGCAACTTAAAAGAAGGGAGACTTATTTTGGCTCACCGTTTTGGAGGGTGTAAATCCATCACAGTGGGGAGGCAAGACATCTCCATCCACCGCAGGAGTAGCGTGGCAGGTTAGAAAGCAGACAGCTCAGGCCAGAAGGAGGGCTGCTCCACTATAACTTCCAAAGACCTGCTTCCTGTGGCCCATCTCCACCAGTCATTCACTAGTTCTACCCAAAACAGTGCCACGAGCTGGGCACCAAGTGTGCAAACACATGAGCCTGTGGAAGACATTTCACATTCAAGCAACAACTGTCCTGAGCAAAATCCTTTCACAAAAGAGCTCATGAGTACCCTGTTCACCTAAGACTGCTTCAGTTTTCCCTTGCCAATGTTAAGGCCACAGTTGTTACAGTTCAAGCAGATCCACATACTCTTCATCCTGGTAGCAGACTTTGGCATTGCCTACATGGTACTCTATCATGTTTACAATATGCAAGAGTTATGAGATCTTGGTAGCTTCTACAATAAGAGTCATATGAACAGCAGCCATAAATTCAAAAGTTCAAACAATGCTCAGCTTTGTTATGTTCATGAACCCAAAACCTAAAGAAGTTAATACAGTAGAAAAGAAGTTAACATATCAAGTTTTCCAGTTATCAATTTCTAAGTTTGCCAAACTGCCTTTTTGTTCTTTTCCGAAAAGAAAGTTGGGGAGAGCCAGCCATATGATGCAGGGTTAAAGTATCTGCAAATGTCTCCCTGTAGGTGAATGCATACTGGATGCATGGGATACAATGGAGGGATACAAATATCCCTCCACAGATTGACCCACATGTCAGGTGCATAGCTGAAGAACTAATGCTTTGCCTGCTGAGTTTCCCCATTTTCTGATTCATTTATTTAATTTCCATATTCCTCTTTTTTGGAATGGGCTAACTTCCTGTGCATATTTCCCAGTGGACCATGGAAATACACTACTTGAGTTTTGACTGCTCTGTGGGCTCAAAGTTGACTTTTTTCTGGTCTCAGAGACTTTGGACTTGGACTTTTGAGCCAGTCTTGAACAATTAAGATCTTGAACTCTTAGTGTCACCAACTGGTTGAGACAAATTTTGCTCTACTGAGATAGAAATTGTGAACCCACAGAGGGTTAACAGTTCTGAACTTTGAATGCTAATGGCTCAACACTTTCTAGTACATCTCCAACCAAGATATGCATGCCAGGGTCACTCAGGTTTTACAGTGTTACATCTCCGTACTTCTGGTGCTAGACACATCAGAGTTTAGTGCTACGTTTGGCTCCACCCTTGGCGCTCTGAGCTCAGCTTCCAGCTACTCTTAGCAGCCAAAACTAGTAATCATCAGTGTGTCTCTGCAAGTATTCCAGGGACTAGGGCCTACAACTCTTTCCAAGTCTTTGGCACTCAGCCCTTGAGAACTCAGGATCTATTCATCCATCCTCCAGCTTGCCATTGTTGGACCACGGTGTTGTCTGCTTTTTATGCAAACTGCTCAGCCTACATGTCTTATGCTCAAAGGCCATCAGTGGACAATAAATCAGAGTTGATTATTAACATGAGTTAGTGAGATGGCTCAGCGGGTAAAGGCACTTGCTTCTGAGCTTAATGTCCTGAGTTCAATCCCCACAACACATCAAGTGGACAAAGAGAACTGATTCTAACAAGCTCTCCTTTGACCTCCACATTTGCTCTGGGGCATGTACAACCTTCCCCCAACACACACACTAAATAAATGTCAAAAAATAAGT